GCCGGGCTTGGGCATGCCACTGGCGGGTGGCACGTTTCCATGATCCCAGTAAATCAGTTTTCAAATGTTTTCATGAAGACACCTGACAGTGTGCGAGTGGGCAGTGCGCAGCTCTTTTTTTTTCGCGGCCCTTCTCGGTTCCTGGCGAGGCCCATGCGGTCTTTGCTATGGTTCGAGCCTGTTCCGTACTATTTATATACACTCTGCATTGAGGGAGATAGGAGTGTAAATATATGTTTTTAATATAGCCAGATTTCTCGCTCTCCAAAGCTACTTCTCCTGGCAGAAGAAGCATTTGGAAAAGATGGAAATCAAACCCTTTGCCAAGTGGCTCACTTCAGACTGTTCAAGCTTGAGCATAGTTTTAAACATTCACAGGTCCACAAATGGATGCCATGACAGCCGTGACATCTTCATTGGCCAGGTTCCTGCTCACAGACTTGGGAAAGTGAGAGGGTTGCTTTCAGTGGCCTCCGTAGATGCGATATATAGCACTTCATTCATCGACACACACACATGCACATATACTCACATGCACGCACACAGGCACGTTGAGAGACCTCCTGGCTCCAGAACCGTCTCCTTTGGAACGAAGCGTTCGCAGAACCTCCATGCGCCAGGAGCTTTGGCAAGGTTTGCCCCTCATGAGTTGGCCTCCCCATGGTCGTGACTCTCATCACGAGACCCGAGTGATGCGCGACGACGTGATGTCCTACGGAGATGGTCACGTGGCGGACGAGGGACGGTTCCGAATGCTTTGGGATAGCTGCATACTTACATTACATATATGTATGATACGAGTGTCTTTTATTTGTTTCAAGTGTTGTGACAACTTATATGAAGCATTGTAAATCTATCTATATATATATATACACACTTTTCTTGTATCCGTCATGATCACCGATCCCTGTTGTGCGGTCGACGTCTTTAGATTTAACAGCTTAGCATTGCGCCATGGTGATGACATTGGTCTTGTGAAACACACTTGTGGAATGCACATGGTGTGCCGCCAACTGGTTTAGCATTCACAGGCTTTCACACGCAAAAACTATTCCTCGAGAGAGAGAGAGAGACAGGGGGAGAGAACCAGAGACTTCTAGACATGAGACTCCTATAGATCATACTGTAAATCAGTCTCCTATAGATCAGTCTGAGCACGTGTAGACAGTACTAGTATTTCATGAACTCTTGTTCGTGTACAGGTCCTTTGGTCGCCCAGTGGTCAACTCGCACCTGCCGATGGGTCGACCTGTCGACACCTCGACATCTCGACACCTGTTTCCAAGGCGATGCGGTTTCAAGTATCACCCTGGCTTCCTTCGAGGACCGGGTTTTTGGACCAAGGCAAGAGACCCCAAACAGTGTGTGTGAGGTCTAGAGGTGTAGACTGGGAAGAGCCTCTTCGAAGGGCGATCGACTGCATCCTGCCCCCCTTTTTTGGTCGGCCCAGGCGGTGGGACGCGGCTTCCGAGGTGAAGATGGTGACCTCGCAAAGCATGAAAAACACATGCACAACAAATGGACGAGAAATGGACATAGATGTCACAAGATGTCACAGACATCCCCATGTCACATTGACCTTTCTGATTTGGTGAAGAGTGACAAACAACACTTCTTTTGCAGGACATGGGACACTACCTCGCTCGATACAGTCACTTGTCCCGCAAAGAGCCGCAGAGCAAATTTAAATTCCACAGCCGATGAACGCGTTCAGTACAAACGGGTGAGAGATTTAAGTGCAAGATTGCAAGAGTCGATGGCGTATACATATATGGAGAGAGATCAGTTTAGACGGTCTGACTGCTTGAATGAAGATCACACTTCAAAAATTATCATGCATGTTTCTCTCCCTCGTGCCCCGACGTCAGAGGGTAAATATGGACTGTCCGTCAAAGCCACTCCAAAACACGGAACCCGAAACTGGGGCCGTTTTGGGCCCCAGGCATTGGGTGTCAGACATGCTTTGAGGCAATGCCGACTGCATCAACTGGGGCCAGGGCCGCGGCTGTCCTTTCGTGAAGAGCAGATGTGAGCAGAGGCCTCTCCATATGATGGGGAACATTCTGGAATCGAAAAAACGTTACCATGCTCAATAATAAGTTGATCTTTTGATGATGTATATATATATATACTAGCACTTGTGTTAAGTCGTCTGGTCTTGTAGAAAGTCGTCTGGATGCTGCGTTTCCATTGGGGTTAGATGCAACATGGCAATATAACTGGAAGAGCATTAGGTCAACAACATTGTTTGGAT